TTTACTCATGTTGAAGTTTCTGGTTTTTGATGAAATACATTTGTAAGGTACATGATGCATGATTGTAACATGAATGTATTTTTACATGTTTCTATGAAAGAAGTTTAATTTGGTGCATCAGTTGTAGTTCCAATAAGCATTGGTGGAAATAAATGGTAGTTTGAATTTTTAGTAATTATTAATGTGATGTGAAAAGCTACACCCTGACATGTACATCTATGTAATAGAAAATGCAGAAGAGCAACATGTGAGAGGAGGAAAAAGAAAACAAGAAGGTGCATCAACTAGTAAGATGCAACAGAACAAAAAGAAAAAAGAGATGAGGAAAAATTTAAAAGGTTACACACATACACTATTCTACATGTAAGATGCATTTGATATTCTTTAAATCTAATTTGAAATGGTGTCATTAAATTTGGAGCAGATGCGCCTGTGGTGAAACGGGTTCGAGGCAGGATGCATATTCAGCGTGATGAAGTGCAGAGACCTGAAGTGAGGAGCAAAGGCATGAAGTTTTCTGTGTTATCACAGTCCACAGAGCACTGATGAAGGGCAGAAGGGTAAGAAAACAAATGTGAGTGACAGTGATGATGCTTTTGAAAGTCCTCCTAGAGATTTCATTAACAAAGAAGGTGCAGTTAAACCGAAACGAAAGAAGCAACCGAAGAAGAGAGCTTTTAAGGAGTTGAAGCATGAATATAAAAGCTTGTACAATAGATCATCACCCCATGTGATCGTCCAGGCAATTGCTAAGTTCAATGACAAACAAAGAGAGGAGGTTATAAGCATTGGATTTGGTGCGATGCTGCATTTATACATCACGGAACTGCCTTCAAAACTTGGGTATTGGGTAGTGGACAACTTTGACCCAAGGAGTTGCACGATGAAGGTTTCTGGTGACACAAGGGTTCATGTGATTGATGAAGATGTTGAGAATGCATTAGGATTTCCTCGTGGAGAAGAAGCAGTTGTCAAGAAACATAAGCACGAAAAGAGTGAACTAGCGGTTGAGTGGAGGAAAGTATTTGGGGGAAAGGAAAAGATAACTCCGAGTGAAGTGGCCACTGCAATGATCAACTGCAAGGAGGGAGGGGAGTGGTTTATTAGACACTTTGTGGTGCTACTGATATCTTCACTGATAGAGAACACAAAAAGCGGTTATATCAACTATCAGTTCATCAATTGCTTAAGGGACACAAAAGCAGTTAAAAGGATGAATTGGTGTGAATATGTCATTTCAGCACTGGTGGAGAAGAAATTAGAATGGGAAGAAGCGAAGGACAAAGCATTCACTGGTCCATTACTGTTTTTAGTGGTCAGTATATCATATATGGTGTATGAGTGTAAGTTTTAATTTCATGTAATCAGAAAAGTGTTAACATGGTGGTTATTCATATGTATTTGCAGGTTTTTTATGTTGATAGAATGGTGGTGTATACAAAGAGGACTGTGATCAGAAAGTGGCCAGCTCTAATAGGTTGGACAACACCATTACTCAGGGACAGAGAGAAGATAGATATTGAAGCAGGCGGTTTTGGACTAGGATATTTAGATGATAAGGTGAACAAGAAGACGTCAAATGTAGAAGAAATAAGAACAGATGCATGTGAGGTGCACCAATCACAAGGGGAGGATGCAACAGAACATTGTGAAACCTCTACCAGGGCGAAGGAAAAAGAGGTAAATCTATTATTTATAGATTTCATTTTTTGAATAACAAATCTAACTAATGTTATAACACGGGAGTTTATGAAAACGTTTGCTGTGAAAACAAGCATGCTAGCTGCATCAACAATTGAAATAATAAGCATGTTAGAACAAGCTCCTGAAGTGGTAATTGGAGATGAGAATTTGAAGAAAGTCATAGAGGCTAGTAATAAGCTACTTGAGGTGGCAGAAAAACAATCAAGGAATGCAGAAACAAATGCACCATCACCCAACCAACATATTGTTAATGAAGACATTGAAAGATTTTGGTCAAGTCCAACAACCATCCAGGCTTTAGTGCAGATGGATACCGTCACAACAACTGCTGCAAAAACAAATGCACCCGGACCCAATCAGAATGTTGTTGATGATGACATTGAAAAGTTTTGGTCAAGTCCTAGAAACATTCAAGCGTTAGTGCAGATGGAGACTGGTACGGTGGATGGTACAGTGAAAAGAAACATCCAAGGTTCTTTTGGTAAGATGGCAGAAACTCCAAGCTTCAGTATAGGGCTGACCCAAGATAATGCTGATAAGGGAATAATGAGGATTGCAAATGAAGAAACGGGCAGCGGTGTTAATATTATAGAAGATGGTAATGCAAGGAAGGAAGTTGTGTTGGAAATGGGCTGCGGTGTTAATATTATAGAAGATGGTAATGCAAGGAAGGAAGTTGTATTGGAAATTAATCCTGTTGGGAACGCAAGAGAGGTATTAGCAGAACAAATGAAGTTGTGTTTTATTACTTTTGTAAAAGCAGCAAATGTTCTATGAAATTCTGAATTGATGGTGTAGGTGCAGCAAGATAGTACAGAAGATGCAGTGATGCTATGTAAAAATGCAGTCGGATTGAAAGTATCTGAGGTAAAGTTATTACATCTATAGCGTAATCTTTGTTTATTATTGCTATGTAAAAATGCAGTCGGATTACTGAATGCAAAGTAGTTGTTAATAATTTTATTTAATATATGAATTCATTTTATTTGAAGCCATATATAGCATAATGCGTATTTGTTATTTGACAGATACATGAACAGGGATCGGATGCAGTAGCAACTATGAATCCGGGGAAGAGGATTGTAAAACCTGCAGCAGCATTGAAATCACCATACTTAACTAGGATTGTTGATCCTAGAGAAAGTATAACCCGTAATGAACATCTTGTTGCTGCATGGATATTGATAAATAAAAATGCTAAGATGTAAGAAAAGTACATTTTATTCTTCATGTAATGGTGTGAGAGACACAATGATGATGTTTTGAAAGAGATTTGTAATTGCTATTTACATATGATGCCTGCATTTTACATGTCATACAATATTCTGTTGGCAGGAATGAGATCGTTTTCAAAAAGGCATTCTGGATTCAAGTGACACGTGGGGAGTTGGTGAGTTTAAAAGAGAAGTCGCATGTTGCACCTGGTGTAATAAATGCATGGGCGTACATTCTGAATTTGAACGAGAGAAATAGAAGCGATGATTCACCAGGCAGAATATTTGCAAAGGCGTTCCCTTGTGTAAGTGGAAAATGTTAAATTACACAGTTTATTTCGTAATATATATATATATATATATATATATATATATATATATATATATATACTCAAAATTTGTTATGTCTGTTCTAATGGATGGAATTGCTCTTCAGCTAGACTCGCAGGCAGATCTTGGATACGATAATAATGATGCATATGTGCTGTTTCAAGCAGCGCTTGACTTTGGATGGAATTTGGTGGGACAACACAGTGATATAGCAAGTTTTGATTTGGTAAGGGCATAAGAAATAGATGACATGTTGATTTATTTACAAAATAAAACTAACATGCAAATTTGGTGCAGTTCTTTTTTCCAGTAATGCAAATTCATCATGCCTATGTAATCTGTGTGAACACAAAGCTCAAACGCGTGGATATAATTGATAGCTCATCCGCTAGAGTTTCAATGAAAAACAAGTATGGAGACATGCCAGCTAGGATGGTAAGAAAGAGATATTTTTATTATATTTGTAATATTTAATTATGTTTATTAATCCAAAAAATTTGCTACTTTATTGCAGCTTCGTATGTTTGTCAAATACTTGTTGTCAAGGAACATGACAAGCAAAGCGAATTTTGTGAGCAAAATGAAGCCGACTAGATTAGCAATGTCATGGAGAGACCCAGAAGATGTGTATGACTATGGGATTTTGATGATGAGGCATATGGAAACTTATAGGGGTGAGGGGCTGCTTGGTTGGAATATTGGAGTAAACAGAGAGGATAGTAGTATGGTCAAGAAAGTACTAGGTGCATTGAGGACAAAGTATATTGCTACAATTTTACTTCATGATAGCAATGAAGTTAAGGAGCAAAACTTACTGAATGCGCGTAATTTTGCAAAGACAAGGAAATGACTGAGTGGAATGCGCCATAGCTGGAATTGATTGACAGAACATGTGGTCTGTAATCTGTTGTTTTGTGCGTGGACACATTTGGTTTACCATCTGTTTTTTTGTGCGTGGACACATTTGGAAGTTTTGATATGACGTTAGTAATTAAACATATGTTAGGATGCATCCTATTATGCTATTATGTTGACTGTGTGTGAATGTGCAATTAAAACACTTTTTTGCTAGAATTCAAACACTTATTTTGTTATCCACTGTGCTATGCACTGAAATGAGGTATACTATGCAGCATTGAGCGCATGGGATATATAGCAGGTAGTGTTCTTATATATACAATTCCAAAAGGAAAAACTTGATTCACTTAAGTGTTGCTTACATGTTATATAGATACGTGTTTCATTTAAATATATACCACAAATAGTTTTAGCATTGTACCCATTAGTAATTAACAAGATATATGAAATTAAGGCATTGAATAATACAATTACATTGAATAATAAAATAAGCATATCGTATAAGCTTACATAAAATGATACACAATGTATGATATAAATATTTAGGCATAACACCTAAAATCATTTTAGGTCAACTGTAAAAGTGAACTGTTTTAGTATGACATTACATGCATCTTAACATTCAGTATGATGCAGTGTAATGAGCAATAGTATGCATCGTTGAAAATGTGATATAAATGCAATTAAGGCTTAAACGAATTGCATGGAATAATAGATGCATTACTGCAAATGGTAAGTAATTTGCAATACTTTGGATACAATGATGTATAATCGAGTATGCATTACTGCAAATGGCAAACAGACAATAACAATAACAAAACATTGAAAACATATAAGAAAAAAGTAAAATACTAAACCAATAACATAAAACTATATTCATTTCCAACATACAATTCTCACTGTAATGTCAAACAACCAAAAATGAAAACAAACTTCAACTTTAATCAAGCTTATTTATTCAAAGGGCAATTCCTACTGTCGTGATGCCCCATCTCATTGCACGATCTACAAAGCCTTTTGGGACGTTGAGATTCTTCAATCAAAACTTCCTTGGAAGACCTCAACCTACGTCCAGAACCCTTATTTTTGGCCTGTTGCGGGGGATGAACAATGACTTCGGATGGCACACTAGAACCATAGAATGATTCAATTAATGACTTCTTTGTTGAATCGTGACCAACACCTTCATGTAGAGAAAGCAGAATATCCTTTTGCTCTTTAATTATACCTGAAAATTTCTTCAAATAACTAGGATTATTTTCAACAAGGGCCATGCAAGCATATATGTCAGACCATAGACTGTTAACAGAAATCTTATTGTCCTCCAACAAAGTAGTCTGCTCAAGTATGGAATCTGAAATTGCAGCCAATGGCTTCACTAAACCCTTCTTGCACCATCTGCTATTAATCAAATGATCTGGAATGCGTTCCAATTTGAAGTCCTTTAGAACAACAAAAATGTGTCGACAAACCATGCCAATCCGCTCATAATATTTACAAGTACACATGGCCTTCATATTGGACATGCTCAACCCAACTCTAAACACCAAATTACGATCATCAGAAATTTCATACTCAAAATCACCATCAACATCATGCACACGCAAAACACGACATGAGAAGCAACTTAAACACAACTCCGACTGAATATCATAGAAGACAGAAAGTGTGAATACATCTGATGCGGCCTTCTCCAAAGGTAAAGGAGTCTTCAAGTCTGGAATGTAGGATTCTGACTCTGAGTTCAACTTATCATGTACATGCCTTTGTGCATCCATTGCACTCTCAAACTGCATAAGAAATTCTACTAAACTGAAATGTGGGTTGGTAAATTCACGAAAAAAGGAATTTTCACTTTCAGAACGTGACGTTGTACGAAGCAATCCAGCCATAAATAGATCTCTAAAGTAAGACGGAATCCACCATCTACGAAGCTCAAACATATGGCAGAACCAGTCATGAGTTGTCAATTCATATTCATGCATCAGAGAGATCCACTTTTCTTCAAATTGAGATGGTTCTAAGTAATGGCTCCAAACAATTGAATTCAATGAAGCCATAAATGTTTCATTTTTGCTTAAAACTGGACCTACCTTTTGAGTGACTTTGTTCATAATATGCCACATACAATAGCGGTGTTTGGATGATGTAAATACCTTCTCAATGGCAATCCTCATCGCTGGATCTTGATCGGTAATAATACATGTTGGTTGACGTGCCATTGCATTAATAAAACGAGTAAAAAGCCAAACATATGATTCAACATCCTCCTTTAATAACAACCCAGCACCAAAAGTGATGCACTTTCTATGATTATCAACACCGGTAAAAGGTCCAAAAACCATATTGTACCTGCACAAACAAGAATGATACCATTTTAATAAACACAATACTACGTGGTGCATAACATAACAAAGAAAGATGCAAGTTATAGTGCTGTTAAGTGCATAAGAAACGCAGATTAAATAAGGTGAATTTCAATGAAACAAAATATAATGGAAACAAACCTGTTCGTTCCATAGGTTGCATCAAACGAAACAACATCACCAAACAATGCATAATTCTTGCGGCAAATAGGATCAGCCCAAAACAACCTTGTTAATTGGTCAGTATCATCAACATCGTAGTCAAAAAAGAAGGCAGAACACACATCTTGCTTCCTGAATAATTTGTCAACAACAATTTGGGCATCAACACCGGATATGTAAGCCATAAGATCACGCTTGAAGTTCTTGAAATCAACGGCTGTAGCCCCTATATTAGAATAACCCCCAACAGTTTCCTTGTATAGCCGATATGACTTCATTGTGCCAATATTCGCTCTAAAACAATTTAAAATAAACTTCTGATGCCCGATGTCTAAATTTCTATTTGCCTTTAGAAATTGTTTAGATACTTCAGAGGACATGGCATGATTGTGGCATTCCTCAAAGGCAAAAATTGAGTAACCATTAACTCCAACATATTTGAGAGTTATCCTGGCTTTACATCCAATCCTATTAGACACTCGTTTCCTATTTTTCTGGCAAACTTCAGAACCAGCGAGATTGGCATCCGAAACAGGAGGACAAACTTTGTTCTTAAAACCAGCTCTATTACATACAATGTACTTGAACAATATATGTCCATCTCTGGCCTTCTTAGATGCATGATGACGAATAGTAAAGCCCAATTCAGCAGCATATTGTTTATAAAAAGTAAAGGCAGTATCTACATTACAAAATATCATCCCAACAATAGGTTTTTTTTCGGGTGACCCTTGAGGGAGCCAGTACTTTGAATCCCCAGGAGAAATTTGCAAAGCACAATTCGGATCTATATAAACAACAAACGATACATAATATTAAACATGACCAAAATCTGGGATAAACACTACACAACAAAGTTTGAATAAATGCACCATATATCTAAAATTAATGCATATATCACCTTGCAGAATACAAAAACGGAAAACAAAGACAAATTAAGAAAATAGTTAAAACTTAATGTTTATCCATTGACGTTAATGAAGCTGCAATATTCATTCATTCATAATTGATAAACAACATAGAATTGGCGAATGATAGCAAAAACAACAAATAAAAACATACAAAACTCAAAGAAGATCCTGCTTCATTCATAATTGATAAACAAAATAGAACTGGCGGATGAAAGAGAACAAACAACAAATTCAGACATACAAAGTGAAAGAAGGTAACATTAACGAAGTTTATTGATGACATTCATATGTGAAAACATAGAGGATCGACATGACAAAAAAACGAGCAATGGATGAAAACAGAGTTCATCAGATATACGAATACCTGGTTCCATGGATTTCGATGACAATGTTGACAGATTATTACTTGAAGCAATTCATTATTTGGACGACGAAGACGAGCGCAGAGATGAAAACCATTATCGATTGCAAATATGGAAGGAAAGAAGAAACGGAAAGTAGGCGGTTAAGGTTGGAAAGTAATAACGAACGGGATTTTTATGATTTAAGATGAGTAATTGACCAAATCACCCTTACTTTTAATTAGTCCTCACTTCAGCAATTAACATTACACGATGGTGATTTGAGTTAGATGAATGGCTAGGATTAAGTTAGTAGGTTAGCATATTAAGATGGGTTTGCACTTGATCTCTAATCTATATATATATATATATATATATATATTCATACATATATATATATATATATATATATATATATATATATTCATACAATATATACTACTTCTTATGAATACATATAGTTCAATGTAAAAATATTAATAACAAAATATTCATGTAAATATTTTGCATATTTTAATTTAAACATTCTTAGAAGCTGTTCCGTTCGTCTTAATCTTATTACTTATTCCTTAATCTTATTTTATTCAGATCAGATCAGATCAGATCAGAAAGATTCAGATCAGATCAGATCAGAAAGATTCAGATCAGATCAGATCAGATCAGAAACATTCAGATCAGATCAGAAAGATTCAGATCAGATCAGCAACATTCAGATCAGATCAGAAAGATTCAGACCAGATCAGACCAGATCAGAAACATTCAGATCAGATCAGAAACATTCAGATCAGACCAGATCAGATCAAAAAATTCAAACATGATTTATCACTTTTATTATTATATTAATTATGATTATTATATTATAGTTATTGTTAATAATATTAATATATTAATATAATAATATTATTAATAATAATATAATAATAATGTTAATAATATAAAATTATTATTATATTATAATAATATAATATAATATAATATAATATAATATAATATAATATAATATAATATAATATAATATAATATAATATAATATAATATAATATAATATAATATAATATAATATAATATAATATAATATAATATAATATAATATAATATAATATAATATAATATAATATAATATAATATAATATAATATAATATAATATAATATAATATAATATAATATAATATAATATAATATAATATAATATAATATAATATAATATAATATAATATAATATAATATATTTATAATTATAATTATAATTATGATTTACAATGTAATTATAATTATAATCATCATTATTATTAATATGATTGTTGTTCTTGTTGTTATTTTTGTAATTATTATTACTTCGGAGTAATTATATATTTAAATTAGTAATTATAGATATAATTATGATTATAGAGATAAATATTATAATTATAATTACAAAAAAAATAATTATAAAATTTATCATAATTAAAAATATAATTACATTTATAATTGTATCTGTATTTATAATTAGTGTAATTGGTATAATTATTATAATTTTAAATTTAATTTTAATTATTATTTTTTTACAATTATGATTATAATTGTAATTTTATTTAAGTTATATTTTTAATTACAATTATAAATCTAATAATTATAATTATAATTATAATTACAATTATAGAAATATTCAAATCAGATCAGAAAGATTCAGATCAGAAGAATTCAGATCAGATCAGAAACATTCAGATCAGATCAGAAACATTCAGATCAGATCAGAAACATTCAGATCAGATCAGATCAGCAACATTCAGATCAGTTCAGCAACGTTCAGATCAGATCAGAAAGATTCAGATCAGATCAGAAAGATTCAGATCAGATCAGATCAGATCAGAAAAATTCAGATCAGATCAAATCAGATCAGAAATATTCAGATCAGATCAGATCAGAACTTAAAAAATTCAGATCAGAAACATTCAGATCAGGTGAACGGAACAGCTAAGTCTAATGGCGGCGAGATATTTGGTGGCTTAAGGCCTATTACAAAAATGATGTTTGTACCCGCTCTTATACTCACTTTTGTACCCACCTATATTTGTGAAGTGTTATTTTTTTGTCTATGAACCTCGGTTCACAGACAATATTTTGCACAAACAAAATATTGTCTGTGAATCGGGTTCACAGACAAAAAAAACACTTCACAAACATGGTGAGTATAAGAGGGGTACATGAAGCATTGTTGAAAAGGTTAATGGGTCAAATAGGTCCTATAACTTAAAAAGTGCAATTCATCCCTTATATAGAATGCTCTGTTCGGGCGTCGCCATTTGGAGTGGTTCCCGTGGAATTTTTTGATGAATTTTTTTTAGCATCTTCTTCATTAAATCCAGTTTACACATACTAAATTTCAGCTAAAATTCAATCGGCAAAGCACTTAAATGAATTTTTGAAGATAACAGTACAGTTAAACAGTGCAGTACCTTTTAGAAAACCATGTGACTATCTTCTCGGTTGAACTTTTGTCTGAAATAAGGGTAAACTAGACTTAACGAAGAACATGCTCAAAAAATTCCACCGGGAATTGCCCCAAATGGCGACGGCCGGACAGAGCCTCTTATATAATGGGTGAATTGCACTTTTTAAGTTAGTTAGAGACCTCTTTGACCCTTTAGCCAAATAGAAATTATAGTGTTTGTGCTCTATCCTCTGTAGTTGTCTAATCTTAATGCTCATGTTGCAATTAAGTAAGCTTTATCAATCCGAGAATGAAAGAACTTCTTTCAAGGAAGCCAACCGGCAGTAGCCGGAGGACGGCAATCCCTATGATGAGGCGAAAGGGGTTCAAAGAGGGCGGCAGAAGGTTGAGGCGTTAGACTGCTGCCTACTCCTGTGCCGGAAAAGTTATATGCGCTAAGGTTGACCAAAGCGACGGAAAATTTCTAGAGGATGAACCTTAATTTATTTTCCTCCTCTAGCTAATTGTCATCAAATCTGATTGATAATGCTTCAGTCAATTGTTTGCCTTTTTCGGTGTTTGGAATAGGGGTGGGCATGATCCAGTCCGGTCCAAAATTTGGCCGAACCCGTACCCACAAATGGGATGGTACCATGTCAAACCAATACCAAATAATGTCATTTTTTCAAGAAACAATGGCACCTATATTACTACTAGAGTTTTCATTTCTTAAAATATGACATCTTTTACATTTCCCAAAAAAGTGACTCATTCTAATAAATGCTCTTAATTGGTTAAATACTCCTAATATGCTAAACGGCTGAACCCATCTTCACTCTCCAAGAATCTAATACGGAGTATATATACCCTAAACGACTAAAGTCATCTCCAAATTACAATCGGCTCTTCGCTCTCGCTCTATTCCGCCGCAGCCTCAACTTTCAGCCACCGGCCGTTGCCGGCGTTGCCTCAACCTCCACCCACCGGGCGCCACTGCTCTATCTCTCAATAGGCGGTCGCCACTGCTACATCGATCTCTCACTCATCGGCACCCGCAATTTCATCTTTTACTCGGTGTCCGATGTCGCCTCATCACTCAAGTGCCATCATCGTTGCTTTTCTTCTTCTTCCCTTTTCTATTGGCGATTGACGCCCAATGGATGATGGCTAGGGTTTTCGATTGGCGCGGGTGGCCGAGGCAGTCAGGGTTGGGCCGTGGACGAGGGTAGTGGGCGGGGATCTTGGCAGGGGAAGTGGTGGGGAAAGGTTCGGTTACAGCAAGGGGTGGGCGGCGTCTAGGGTTTCTAGGTGGGATAGTCGGCATCGAGGCGGCAATATCCCTAGTCAGAGATAGGGGCAGATCTGTGTGACTGGAGTTGGTGGTAGTCACTGGGTTAGTGACTGGGGTCTAGAGAAGGGGCAAGGGATATTGAGACAGTGCAGGGAGCGGTCACTGGACAAGGATGCTGGAGATGATGATCACAATTGGGTTGCGATCATCACCTACACTCGGTCACTGACGGTAGGTCACTACAACGTAGTCACTGGCGGTAGGTCACTACAACGGAGTCACTGGCGGTGATTTGGTTGATGGTGATTGTCGATGGCGACACTAGGGTGGTGGTGGTGGTGTCACTGTAATGGGCAGTGACAGGATGGGTAGTCACTGAGGGGCGACGGCGATAGTCACTGGGCGGGGGGCGGCAGTTACTGTTGCGGGCGGTGGAGGTGGCGGCAGTCAATTGGAGATAGTAGTGGCAGCATTCACTGACCGGGGGCTGCAGTCACTGACCGGGGGCGGAACGGGGGCGGCAGTCACTGACCGGGGGCGGCAGTCACTGACCGGGGGCGGAACGGGGGCTGCAGTCACTGTCCGGGGGCGACAGTCACTACCTAGGGTGGTTGCGATTGCGGCAGTTACGGGACGAGACTGGTGGCAACTAAGGGGGTGTTTGGATCTGATTCTCAAAACTGAAGGAGCAGAAGCAGAAGCTGAAATGTTTGGGTGAAATTCCAGAAGCATTTCTGGAGCTCTCATTTACTCTCAGAATCAGTTTTTTAGAAGCTGGGAGGTACCAGCTTCTGAAAACTGATTCTGATCGTGCTTCTGCTTTTAAAAAAGAAGCAGAAGCAGAATCAGTTGCAAAAGTTATATCAAAACTGATTCTGATTGTGATTCTGTTTTTATTTGTACTCCAATTGTTACAAAAAGTATATCAAAATTTAGAATTGTTATTATCTTTTATATCACAAATAAAAGTTATATAGAGTAACACTTTAAAAACAAAAGTTTCTTAAAGTGTTATTTTTTTAATATATGTAATATTGATGTCTTATAAAGATAATAAAAAAATATAAAATTTGATCATTTGTAACGATCGTAGTACACATAAAAAATTATGGCATTTAAAAACACATTAGTTTTTTAAAATGCCTATTTTTTTATTATTATTTTTATATAGTCAATATTGGTGTCATCTGAAAGATAATAAAAAATTAAAAATTTTGACATATTTTTTATAGTAATCGGACGTAAGTTAAAACGCAAGTTATCTAAAACGGAATATAAAAAAATACATTGATTTCAATGTAAACATTTTTTATCATTAACATAGATGTTTATTTAGTGGTGTAACTCGCGTATATTAAGATCTAACACACGCATAAACAGATGTAACTCGTGCATAAGAAAATGTGATTTCATATAATATCAAATGTAAACAATGAACAAGGAGTTTAATTGTTTTTTATATTATTACCATAAAAATGGTTTGAAGAAAAATCATTTTTTGCCAAAAAAAACCAGTTTTTTTTCATTTAAATGCCATGGATATATTTTGTGATATAACTCGTGTTATGGAAAATCTAACTTAGGTGTATGCAAAATTTAACTGAGGTCTGGGGCAAATCCGAGTGTAACTTACGTATAAGAATTGAAGCTAAGATTTTGCTTGCGAATAAAAAGATGTAACTCGCGCACAGAAAGATGTAGTTTCATATACTGTCAAATGTACTATTCAATGTAGCCCCGAAAACAAGGCATTCTTATCATTTGGTAGATCCAAGTCTATGGCCTATTTCAGGTTCACTCGGAGCTTTGGCAACAACCGTAGGCAGGGGCGGATCCAGAAAGTTACAATGGGGTGGGCTGGGAGGAAATTGAAATATACATACATAATAATAAATCAAGTCGTCAACAATTTAAATATTCATCAAAACATCATTTAAGTTGTGCCCTACGCGACTTCAAAGTATAAAATTCGTCAATAATAGAATCTACATCTATATTATTGGCAAAATCTCGTTCAATGTAGATCATCAATGAATCTTCAAGAAAATCATCTCCCATTTTGTTACGAAGTGCCTTCTTCACATGCTTCATTGCTGAAAATGCTCTTTCCGTAGTAGCAGTAGAAACAGGCAGGGTCAACACAAGACGAATTAATCTTGTCAGCATAACATAGATTTCTGATTTCCCAGTTCCCACTCTCCGTCAAATGTTGACATAACTCAACAAGTGTCGACGCTTGAGATGTTGAAACAATATCATGCTTGTAGTGAATCAACTCAAACTCAAGTGACACAATGTCTTGATCAGTGAAATCCGCAGAATAAAACTTTTGTGCAAGTTTACAAATATCATGATGTTAATTATAATGATTCCCTAACCCTAAAACTCTAAAAAGCTAAAATTAATAAAAGACATTAACACATTCACAATTCGTGAAATCACAATCTCACGCAGTCAATCAAAATTCAAAAAAATAAATAAAAAATCTTAAAAACACAATAGAATTTGGAGAATTGGATTTTACCTGGAGGGAGGCGCACTGTGCACAGCCGCAGAGGCAGACGGCGGACTGCCGGAGTCCAGCGAAGAAAGGCAGACCAGCAGACGACGCAGGTGGGAGGACGACGTAGGCGGCGCGGCAGATGTTCACGTCTTCGTCGCAGGTCCACTTCGCAGCTCCTTCATCGGTTCTTCCTCGATTCCTCTTCGGACTTCGGCTCTTCCTCGTCTAAGGCTAATTTGTGTAGCTGCGTAAGGTGCTGTTCTGTTCGTCTTATTCTTATTACTTATTGCTTATTCTTATTTTATTCAGATCAGATCAGATCAGATCAGAAAAATTCAGATCAGATCAGATCAGAAAGATTCAGATCAGATCAGATCAGATCAGAAAGATTCAGATCAGATCAGATCAGATCAGAAAGATTCAGATCAGATCAGAAAGATTCAGATCAGAACAGACCAGATCAGAAACATTCAGATCAGATCAGAAACATTCAGATCAGATCAGATCAGAAAAGTTCAAACATGATTTATCACTTTTATTATTATATTAATTATTATTATTAATATTGTTATTACTATTATGATTATTATTATTATATAATTATTATTAATATATTAATAATAATATGATAAAGAAATAAGATATTAATAATAGTTATAATATTTTAATATAATAATAGTAATATAAATGCAATTATTAAGAAGACTATTATTATTAATATTATTATTATTATTATTATCATTATTATTATTATTATTATTATTATTATTATTATTATTATTATTATTATTATTATTATTATTATTATTATTACTATTATTACAATATAATAATAATATGATTAATATTATTATAATATTATATTATAATTATATGTAATTATAATTATAATTACAATCATAATTCTAATAATTATAAGTATAATCAATTGTAATTATTATAATTATATCTATAATTAATTATAATTATAATAATTATAATTATAATTACCATCATAATTATAATTATGATTATAATTATAATTATAATATAATATTATAATAATATAATACTAATAATAATAATAATCGTATTATTATTAATATATTGTAATAATAATATTAATATAATAATATCGTTATGATAATATTAATTGTATTTATAGTACTATTATTATATTATAATATTATAATTAATGTTAATATAATTATAATTATTATTAATTATAATTATAATAATTATAATTATATTATTATATTATAATATTATAATTAATTTTAATATAATTATAATTATTATTAATTATAATTATAATAATTATAATTATACTTATAATTATATTATAATTATAATTTATTATTATAATTATTATTTTTATTATAATAATAATAATTATTATTATTATTACTATTGTAATTATTTTACGGAGTAATTATAATAATATTGATAACTATAGTTACAATTATAGAGATAAATATTGTAATTATAATTACAATTATAATTATATAAGTAATTATAATTAAAAATATAATTATAGTTATAATTATATCTATATTTATAATTAGTGTAATAGGTATAAATTTTTTCATTTTAAATTTAATTTTAGTTATTATTATTATTATTATTATTATAGTTACGATTATAATTATAATTTTATTTAAATTATATTTGTAATTGCAATTATAATAATTATAATTATAATTATAATCATAATTATAATCATAGAAACATTCAAATCAGATCAGATCAGAAAGATTCAGATCAGATCAGAAGGATTCAGATCAGATCAGAAACATTCAGATCAGATCAGACCAGATCAGAAACATTCAGATCAGATCAGAAAGATTCAGATCAGATCAGATCAGATCAGAAAGATTCAGATCAGATCAGATCAGATCAGAAAAATTCAGATCAGATCAGACCAGAACTTAAAAAATTCAGATCAGAAACATTCAGATCAGGCGAAGAGAACAGCTTCTAAGTCTGGACTGAGGCCGAGATGCGCAGGTAAGGTCTGGGCTAAGGGCTGGAGCGCTGGGCTGTGACTGTGAGTTTACTTTTGGCTGGGCTGAGAATAATTTGGAGATGGGCTGAGAATTTATCATATACATATACTAACTTTAAAAAAAAAAAATTGGGCTGGGCTGAAGCCCACCCCTGCCCTTGAATACATCCGCCCCTGACCGTAGGAGAAAAATGCAATCTCATGTTTTATCAAATTTAAATCGAAATAAAGAAATTTAATGTCTTAAAAACACTAAATACGTATAAAAGAGACAAGAAATAATTATTATTATTTTGCAAAGAGATAAGAAATACATTATTGAAAAAAGTGTATGAATATGAAAAGTCAAAAGTATTTTACAAAAAAAGGTATAAATGTAAGAAAATATTGTGCGTGCACACACACAAAAATGGTACAAATATCAGTTCAAGACAAAATGTAAAAAATAATGTATGATTATTTATGCAATATACTTATTTTATGTTGATTAATACGTAGTAACATTTTGAAAAAAAATGGAAAACAAAAAAGATAAATGATCAACATATAACTTAATTAGTCAAAAAATAAAGATAAGAAAAATCACGATTAAAAATAAAAATAATAATAATAATAATATCATACCTGGAATAGTGGGGGGCTTGAGGGAAATGAAAGTGGGGGGCTTAAGGTAAAAGAAACAAGAATCTTCGCAGTGCTCCCAGCTTGAAAGAAAAACGTTGTCGTATTTGATATTGGTATACCATGTGCATGGTATATTGGTACAACGGTATAATTTGCAGTGTTTCTCAGTTCCCATAAATCTTACATGTCCTAAAAATCTTGCCTATTAGAGAAAATGAAAATTCTCTAATAATGGTATTATTATGAAGATTTTCATCTAAATAGTATGGAGTGTTAGTTATTCACTTGCGTGTTATACGAGAGTGCACTACTAATATATTAAATATATTAAATAATACGGAACATTTTAATTTGAAAATATAATACGTACACGAAATGTGCATACATATAAGCAAAGCAATTGTAAGTATAATTTTTTAGATGAGACTAAAAACAAATGTGTGATATTAATCTAATCAAATGAAATCTTATCTTGAAATATTATAATTGTCAATAAGGGTTAGGGCATTTTAGAGATGGAAAAAATGTTGGTGTAACCATGTAGCTTTATGAGGTGGTACATTGTCCTTTACCATGTGCACTCTTTTAATTGAATTGATTTTTTCGCTTAATTTCCACCTTTCCTTTGATTTGTGTTTCCAAACGTCTGGAATAAGTTCTGTTACTTCACTCCACCAGTCATCGTCTCCTTTTATCTCTAGAATATTCAACTCAATCCATTTAAACAAGGGAACAACGTAACAACAAAACTATCAATAAGCGGAAGGCGCAACTAGTGTTAACTCTAGTCTGCGGGAGTTTTGGGTCGGCGACTCCAATCGCTCGA